TCTGGCCTCTCCCCGTCGCCGAGCGCAATCCTAGACGTATCCCTATCCTATATACTCAATTTTCGAACCCACGGAGCCTTAACAACTCCGGGGCCTGAGAACCGAATAGAGCCCACGGAGCTTCGACAACTCCGTGGGAAAGAATTGCCGAACCCGCGGAGCCTTAACAACTCCAGGGCCCAAGAACCGAGTTTGTTGTAGTCCTCCAACGAGGATTTAAGCGGAGCTGTACCTGGGAAACTGTCCAGCCTACACCGCGACCATCTTGGGTGTAAGTAAATAATCTTTGAATCAACCACTACGCCTCTGTGACTAATTCTAGCCCGTGCGTTCCTTACTGCCCCATGGTCCCTTCTGACCCCGCGTGCCCGGGCGGGGCCACAGCCCGCGTGCGCAAAGACGGGTCCGCATATCGCTCCCGGCTCGCACATGGCGACATGGACGGGATCAGGAGGCAGCCCGCACATTAACATAAAATGTTATCTCATCATATTTAGTTCTATTTCCTGAGTACTGCATGTCCTTCAATACCTGTGTTCCTGATCATTCCATCATGATTCTGTTGTCTAATACCTGGTTTCATGTCCTGCACCTGTAGCTCAGGTTTCTCCATGTTGTGGTCTAGGGTCCTGGGATTTGTGGAATACTAGTCAGTTTTTACTGACCAGACCATTGTCTATCCAGCTTAAGTTCAGCCCTTTCACTAACTTTATCGCCTACTTTGTTTTTCTTTGCTGTCCATCATTCTACTTGTTTAACCATTGTTTAATATTTTGCCCTATCCTCATGTATATGTTCCTTTCTGTATGAACTAAAAAAGAGTGGAGGTAAGATCAGTTTAATCCAATTTTATCCCCTCACTTCTTTGTTGAGAGATCTTCTATGTCATAGCAGCCTTGATTGCAGAAGGCTATTCCCCATGTATACAGGTAGAGTCTCTTCCTGAAGAATTTTTATTACATTGATACCAATGGTTGAATATCCTAACAGCTTCTTCATAGCACTAGTCTTGAGGCATTTGTTGATCTTCATTATATTATCATGCTTCCATCCTTCCTTCTCTAGGGGCCAGAATCTCAATAAATCTCACCTTAGCCACTACCTCCTGGAGCATCATCCCCATTTGTTGTAGTTGCTTGTGATTTGTTCTAGTGGGAATCTTGCAGGGTCACTACTCCCAACGGGAAAGATCAATGAACTCTAACTTACTTACATCAGGTTCCTTTTTAGCCTCAGGCCCATATCTTTTACCCTTACTCCTAATAGACAACACATTGTCCTATTTTCCGAGTCCATTCTTAGAGCAATTCTTCAGAAGTCAAGAAATATAGGCCTTTTTCTCACGTTTTCACCCCTGTGCTGTGCTGTCTGCTTCAGACAGCAGGGCTGGCCCCCGCTCCTCACTCTTTAGCTGGAGCAGGGGCAAGGGTGGGTCCAGACGCTGGCCAGCATGGCCCCCTAAAGCTAAGGGGTAGGGAGGGGGTTTATTCCCCTCTCCCACCAGGGATCACAGTCGGGGCCTGCCTGGCTGGGCAGAGCAGCCCTTCAGGGTAAACCCTGCCCCTCACCGCTAGTGGCAGAGGCAGGGGTTGGGGCCTGGGTGTGGGCAGATCCAGCCAGCTGGCATAGTCCCACTATCTGCCAGCCTTCCCCGCAGCTGAGGCTGGGGGGTCTGAGCCGGGCTGGCCCATGGACACTACTGATGGCGGGCGTAGAGGGGCCAGGCCCTTTTGAGCAGGCTGTGGCTTAGGCTGGGGTTGTAGGAGCTGTGTGCCCAGATTGCTCCTGGCTTCCTGTACCCAGGCTGGACTGAGCGGTCATGGAGCTGCAGCCAGGTGGGAAGGCCTGGGGGGGCCAACCCAGGCTGGTCCATGGGGGCAGGGCCCTTCTCAGCCAGCTGCGACTGCAACAGCACAGCCCAGTGGTATGGGTGGTGGCTGGCCAGGCAGCGGTGTGGAGGCAACACCACTGCAGCTATGGGTGAACACCTCAACAGCCAGAATGGCCGCATAGGATGTGTTAATTGTGCCTGTGGCTGCCTGGGCCAGCTCAGAGGTGCTGGTAGGCCCAGAGCCTGGCAGTCACTCACTGCAGCAACTCATGTGCCAATAGCTGCTGCCACCATGTCCCCTGTTTGTCACTGTGCAGCACCCAGCCCGCTGCAGCTACACCGGACCAGCGGGGCAGTTCTGCCTCCCCTGCCCTTGCTCCAGCGGGTGGAAGCTTCAGCGCATGCCCAGAGCATGGAGATCTGGCTCCACCTACCCAGTGCGATGAGCAGACCCTCCAGGTGGGAGAAGCAGGTGGAAGGCAACTGGGAGCTGAAGCCAGATCCAGCTGAAGCTGAAGCTTCCACCCACCCTGAGTGGCATGGTGTGGCAGGAGGAGCTGCAGCTTGAGGTGAGGAGAGCAGAACAGTCCTGCTGGCTCCAGCCAGCATACAGCTTTGGTGGCACTGTTCCCAGTGCGGGTGCAGCCAGCCAGGTGCTGCTGTGCTCCCTTCACCTCCAGTGGCTCTTCTTCCTCCCATTTCTGCCTGTACTCTGCTGTTCCAGGCAGCAGGTGGGGAGGGAGCTTCTGCCCAGCACATGCAGCTCCAGTTCCAGCTCTCAGGTGCCTTCCACCCACCCACCCACAGGGGTTGCTCATGGTGCCAGGTGGGCAAAGTGGATGGAAGGCGGTCAGGAGCCAATTGGGTGCTGCAGTGACTGACATGGGGTGTGGTGGTGGTAGCTGTGGGCACAAGCCCCTGCAGTGGGCAGCTGCCGGGCTCTGGGCCCACTGGCACCTCTAAGCCAGCCCAGGCAGCCATTGGCATGATTAACACATCCTCTGCAGCCAGTCCGACTGCCAGCTTGCCCATCTGAAGCGGTGTTGCCTCCACACCGCTGCCCGGCAGGCTGCTGCCCATGCTGGGCTGTCACAGAGCCAGAGTCAGCTGGGAAGGGCCCTGAGCCTGTGGCCCAGTCCCGGCTAGCCCCACTGGGCAGCTTTATGACAGTTGTGGCAATTCAGGCACACAGCTCCCACACCCCCAGCCTGAGCCACAGCTTGCTGGGAAGGGCCCAGCCCCTGCAGCCCAGCTCAGGCTGGCCCCTCTGCACCTGCCCTCAGCAGCACCTGCAGGCCCAGCCCTGGGCAGATGGCAGGGCCATGGGACCGAGCCAGCTGGCTTCAGGCAGCGGGGAAAGCCAGGTTCATGAGAGAGAGGGAAATTTAATCCCCTCCCGGCTCCTCTTTGGCTGAGGCACTGCCAGAGCTGATGACTGGCCATGCTCATCCAGGACAAGCCTGGCAAGGGCTGCTTCCCACCTCCCCCTCCAGGCACACCTTGGCTGGGGTCCCTGCAGGCCAGAGTGGGGGTTTAAACTTCTCCCCAGTCATACTTAGCAGTGGGGGCAGGGCAGTCAGGTGAGGTCAGCTTCCCTCCAGCCTTGCGGCTGCTGCAGAAAGAAAGGAAGGGCTCACTCTAGCACCTCCTGGCTTCTAGCCTGAGCCACTGCAGGTATGTGTCTGCATTTCAGGAATCAAAAGTAAATGCCTATTCACTTGCAAATTGGTGCAATCTATGCAGGTTAGACTAACCTGCAAAGATGGAATCAGTTCAGACTCAGGCTTTTTTGAACGTCTGCCCCTAGCCTAAATGTCTTTCAGGACTGCTAAAGTGCAGCAAAGAATTGTGAACTGTAGTGGTCCACCCTCTGAAGAATGACATATGGCAGTACTGCAGAAAGCATGCAGCCCGTTTCCATCTTTTTATGCCAAAGCATCTCTATAATGGCGTAAACCATTGTGAACAAATGGACAGTGGGGCCAAGTATGGTTAGTTAATAATGGCATGAATTTAACACTTCTATCATGTTGTATTATTTGAACCTATTACTCAGGACTTAACCCTGCAAGCTACAGCCACACAAGCAAGGCTGTTTGCACTCCGGCACAAAGGTGAATAGAGGTTGGGTGCTTGTAAGGTTAAGCACTAAGAGCCACCACTTCCTTAAAGTTATTTAAGTGCCTAATTCACGGTCTTAAATCTCTACACTGAACAGAAACATCCATTAAGTCCTGTCTGTGCCCTTTCCTTCATTCTGAATAGCACAAGTTTTGTTTTTGGGTTTATTAAAAAAACTAGGATATTGGAGAACGGTCAAGCCTGAGTGAAGGGATATGAGTCAGTGCAAATCTCAGAAAACAAGTAATTTATATTATTTATATTCTCCTTTAGGTGAACTACTCCTACTACCCTGCACTAACTTGGGAGCCACAGAGCAGCATTCTTTCTGCCTAGGCAGGTCCCTCTGTATACACTCCTGGCCATTATGAGTTTGCACATGTTTTGCTTAGTAGAGGCAAAAACCCATCTTTTCCCTGGCTCATAATTTTAATTCAGCTATCTGAATTCAACTCATAACTAGCTATGAACTTTTATAATGATCTCCATTAAATGAGAAAATTCCACGCACTTAAAAAAAATGAAGCACTTCCTACTAATGCATGCTGTTACTTCCTACTAATGCATGCAACTGACCAGCAGCGGTCGTTAAACAGGTAGGTCGTTAAGCGAGGAGTACCTGTATACTTTAGTCTCATTTAAGAACTACCATAAAGAAACACTGAAGAAACTGCTCGAGTAAGATTCAAGTTACTTTAAAGCTAATAAGTTATTTACGTGATTCTAAGCCAAGTTCTTCCTTCTCACCAAAAGATCCCAACGTGGCAGAAATCCAGCTTGCTGTATGCTCTCAGTTCGCCGGTGAAATGCATGCATTCTCTCTCACATTGCCTCACACGGCAATCAAAGGAGGATGATCATCACTGAGCATTAGCAAAGCTTTACATCTGATGTGTAAGGTCTACATATGGAACCCAGCACAATCAAGTGAGCTACAATTGCCCTATTAAGTCATCCACAACTCTGCACATAATCACAATAAATATAACTTTAATAAATGAAAAGTAGTATTCTCTAAACACAACATCAGAAGAAGTCAGTCACCACATTGAATTTTGTCCAAAAGACACTTCTTTATTTTATCCAAGGTAAATTATGCCATGAATTCATAGGGAATTGGTTCCAGCAGCTCTGGCTCTTTACCGTTGGTTCTCACAAAGTGTGCTTCTCTGGGTGGGGCAGGCTGTAATAAAAAAAAGTATATTAATGTGGTAACACTGGAGAAACTAGTTCCCATGGAAACCAGTTCCCATTCCATCACAGCTGCACTGCCATTTAAGACCTCATGAAAAAAGAAACTATTAAAATCAAAAACCATTTCCAAATCTCGGTACTAGCAAAATTATGTCCAGTTGCCTTTCACTCCAACAACAATGGTCTCTGATCCTAAAACTGATTTTTTTCTGTAGATACCCAATTCACATATAAAATAGTGCTATTAAATTTTCCTCGGAGCTCTGAAAGCAACACAGCTATACACTTCTTTCCTGCAAAGGTCTCCCACTATATACCCTCAGACACTGAAAGTATATTTAAAGTTTCTTCCAGTTAGCATAAGAGACCATTAGTTGATTTGTACCCATCTTTTAATACTGCCTCAAGGAATCAGACAATCACCTCTCCCTCCCATTATAGAAGTAGTTTCTAGACTGCAAGCATAACAGGGGTACTACTAATTCAGATGACAATAAACATGGTACCTGGCGTTTTAGTTCAACCCAAGTGCCCTTTTCCTTTGCTTCCTTCTTCTTCCTTTCATTTTCCTTCACACGCTGCAGGAAGCTGTCTCTGCTTTTGGAATGTTTAATATGCTCAATGCGCACATTAATTTTCTTGGCAAGAATCTTGCCCCTGAAAGAATAAGTTTTTTTGAATTGACTGTACTTCCAAAAACATTAATACAAGTTGCATGATGCAGCTTTTACACTAAAATAAACAATTCCAGAAAGCAGTACTATACACAAATTTTCCTTAAAACAGCCATTTCCTAAGACACACTGAACTATATAAAGGTAGTGAATTAAATGCAAGTATAGCAAAGCATATTAGCACATGGCTACCTGTTCTGATGTTTAAGGAATAAGACTCCCAAGACAAGGGATTTTCTACCTCGCAAGTGAACGGGGATACTTGTCCATCATTACTGAAAACCACTATTTGAGGAACAAACTACATATCCTACTGACTACACAGCCTTACGCCCCACTGAGTAAATTTAAAACGTTATTTTTCAAATTAATTCAGTAAAAATACACTAAGTCGTTGAAGCCTCATTTTACATAATTCTGATTGACACGTTGCTCAGAAGAGTCAAAGCTGTTTCCTCTGACAGGATCCAAGTTAAACAATACTTGTTTACCTGGGTTTTAAAAGGACATTTGTTTTACCCCCCTTGAATGACCAATGAAGACAAGATGTCTGACTGGCAAAGTGAAAGAGGGGAAGTCACTACTGATCAATTAACAAAATCAAGTTTCATGTGAATAATGACTGAGATACTTACTTAACCTGCTTGTTTACAATAATGCCTACAGCATGCTGTGTAATATTATAGACCCGTCCAGTCTTGCCATGGTAGCATTTGTGAGGCATGCCTTGCTGAACAGTACCCATGCCCTGTTGGAAGAAAAGGACTGCCAGAATAAGAATCCTAAAACAGAGTAAAAACTATTGTATTCTACAGGTTAAAACTGAGTATGGAGTAGAAATCTGTAAAAACCAAATAATTTTAAGTATGGCAGATTTTTCTCCAAAAAGATTTATTAATGGAGAAACACGGAATGAACTAATAGAGTGGTTTATCAAGTTATCTTTATTTTATTGGTGTCCTGGGAAACGCATTACCCACATTTTAAAACTAAAAAAATTTCTATGACAATACTGGTTTGCTTTCAGTGCCGGTGAAATGATTTGCTCATTTTGCTCTAACTAGAGCAATCATAGGAGACAGTCATCCTCAAGCCCCAGAATGTCAAGAAAATAACAGATCGGGAACAGGGCAATTTGCTACCACGCTCAATTTAGAATGATTTGGTCTTTCTCTGGTTTGCTTTTTGTCAGAAGACCAGACTTTGTAAAAGAGAAAGGCAAGCCGAGAGATGGATGGATGAACTGAATCTGCACAGAGAATTTTATTTCATTTTTAATTACGCTACAGTGCAAAACATACCTTAATGTCCACAATATCACCCTTCTTGTAGATTCGCATGTAAGTGGCCAGAGGGACAACTCCTATGGAATGAAACACAGCAAATGGTCTTACAAGAGAACCACAGTTACTAGAAGCGAGTGTTCAGTAAATACTAAACACCACTAATACATTTTCACCTGGCTGTAAGAACCAAATCATATTTTCACATGAAAACCAGCAATTTAAGCAATAATGGCCAACTGACAAGTTACAGCATAAACTGACCATTAAGGTAGAAAAGCCACACTGCATTAAAATTTGGTTGCTCATGAGAAAATAAAAAAAATACCTGCTGCCTATTAACAAAAACAGTCTGAGCTCCACTAATCTAACACACCAGTGGTGCTAGCATGTCCTTCCATTTTTGCACTAAAAATCAGCTCAAGTTTAAAATTTATTTTGCTTACATTTTCACACTGTTGAGACACAACAAGCTATTATCTGCTAGACACACTTTCACATCGACCCTGCCCTTCTTCAGTTTGTGCCCAAACGCTAGACCAATGTCTCCCAACTACACAGATGAGATAGATAGATAGATATAAATAAAATCTTGGCCCCTATGAAGACAGTGCACACACCAACAAATACAAATTTTAGTTTTGTTAGGTCTCTGCACAAACAGGATGGTTTTTTGTTTTTTTTTTTAGGGTCAGAAGGGACCTCAACAGATCACGCAGTCTAACCCCCTGCCCTGGGCAGGAAAGAGCCCTGGCACCCGACGACCCCAGCCAAGTGCTTGTCTAATTAGGTTTTAGCCTAACTCTCGATGGAAGTGGCTGGTACAGGGCCACAACGTGGTGCATAACTTGGCCCCAGGAGCCGGCTGAGGGGCAGGAGGCCAGACCCCTGGCCGCCCTGCTAGGCTCCCCTCACATCTGGCAGCAGGCGGTAGCAATCAGCGCTGCCGCCGGATGTCCAGGCCTGCGGGAGCCGCCGGCTGGAGGAGGCCCCGTCCGGCGCCACTCACCATGCTTGCGGAAGGGCCTGGAGAACATGTAGCGGGTCCCGCGCCTCTTGCCCTTGGTGTTCGTCATCCTGGCGAGTCACTGCGGGGACGAGAGTGTGGCAGCGTGAGCGGGGCCGGGCGCTCCTGCTTCCCCGGGGAAGAGCCCGCGGCCGCGTTCCGTCAGACCCGGGCCCGA